TGTTCTTTCTTTCTGATACTCCATTTTGCTGTGGAGAGTAGGGGGCTGTAAGCCGTCGTTTTATGCCTTCTTTAATATAGAAATCCTTGAACTCTATTGAAGTGAACTCCAGACCATTATCTGACCTCAAACACTTCAGCTTCATTCCATTTTCTGCTTCTGTTTCAGCTTTGAACTCCTTGAATTTTTCCAGAGCTTCATTCTTTGTTTTTATGAAGTAGATCCATGTCATTGTGGAGTGATCATCAATAAACAGGATGAAATACCTATTATTTCTTAGTGACTCTGTGCTCATAAGACCACAGATGTCTTTGTGGATCAATTCAAGCTTGGTATTTGCTCTCCAAGAAGACTTTGAAGGGAAGGGTTGTCTGTGCATCTTCCCAAGTTGGCAGATTTGGCATATCCAGTTTTCTCCTATGATTTCAGGGAGATCTAGACTCAATTTTAATAAGTTCATCTTCTTGAGGGCTTCAAGATGTACATGTCCAAATCTTTGATGCCATAGAATGGTGTCGTTTTGAGTAGCGCACCTTAGTTTTTCTTCAGCTCCTTGCAGCTTCAAGGTGAAGCTTCTGTTGATCATTGGAATGTTCGCAATTTTATATCCATGTGAGTCTTTTATGGAGTATGAATTTTCCTTGAAGACCACGGTGTATCCCCTTCTGATTATTTGGCTCACACTTAACAGATTTTACCTCAGGCCAGGCATATACAGGACGTCAGGTATGACTCTTTTCTTTAGCTCGTGGTTACTGCAATGCTTCCTTTTCCTTATGCTCTTAATGCGTTTCCATCACCTAGAGTTATGTTGAGTTTTGTATCCTTGTTAAGATTAGAAAATATTCTTTTGTTTTTGCACATGTGGCTTGTACAACCACTGTCAATTATCTAGTGAGTGTCAACTTCCTCTGATTGCTCGCTGAGTGCCATAAACATCTGCTCATCTCTTTCGGTTTCTTCGGTATAGTTTACTTCTTGTTGAGACTGCTTTGAGTAGAAGAAGCAGCTGTGTTCCCTTCATATTTTTTCTTCCATTAGTATACCTTTTTGACGTGTCTGCCTTCTTGCAGTAATTACACTTGATCGGGTTCTTCCCTTTATACCAGCAGTCTTGTTCTAGGTGGTTATTGCGAGTACATATTCTGCAGTTTTGTAATCCCTTTTCTTGCTTATTGTTGTGTTTGTTTGAATTTTGTCTTGATCATGTGACTTGATCATCTTGATTTCTTCTTCCTCCTCTTCTTCTGCCTTGATTTTTGCTTCTGCTTTGTATAGCTACTAGTGCTCCTTCGGTGGAGTCTCCATCTTTATTGCCCATACGTGATAATTTTCTCCTGTAAATAGAGGAGGATTTAGTATGCCAGTCGGGTTTGTTGCCATGTTGTATTTTGTTTTTTTTTATTTCTTCTCACAAATCCCTTTAGATCATACAGCTCTGATACCACTTGTAGATTTTTAATCAACAAACTATCACAATTTTTATTGTAATTTTAGAGAGAGTTTAGAGAGAGAGAGGGCAAGAAAACAGAGTATGTGTATTCAGAGTTCTCTGTTTTCTTGTTTCTCTTAAACTGCATAAATTTTTGGGATGAATGAACTATCATTTATTGATTGATTTGAAGTGGTATTTAAACATAGAATTAAATTAGAGTCCTATTCAAAAAATATAATTCGAATTCTAACAAAAAACAAACTCTAAACACAGAATTTAAAAAACAATCCTAAACCGCATATATGTCGATTTTCTATATGTATTCTGCCACCTCTCTGTTCGGAGCTTTATTTCAAATAGATTTCTATTATAAATGAAATCCTTACGTCGAACATGGATATATATTTATTGGTCATGATATAAATAATTTAGAAGATTTTAAGGATATCATTGATCAACTAATTGAAATGTAAATGATTTGTACATGGTGGTATCCCCTTGGTACTGATGTTTATTATACTACACTTTTATCTCAAAAAAAAAAAAAAAGATGTGGCTGTCTCAAAACAAAAATAAAGCTAATTTTGGTGAATCAACCAACAATTGTACCTATAAGAAGGGTCATGGTGGAAAATTCTTTCAACACAGAAGAAAAGGAAAAGAAGAACAGTTCGACAGTAATAATCAGAATTCAAAAGGAGCTGAAAGAAGTGAAAACGGAAGCCCAAAGCAACATCACTATTGTAAAAGGTACAGTCATATAGATAGATATTGTTGCCTTAAACAAAAACAAGCCAAATTTTTTAAAGAGAAGAAAAAAGAATGAAACTAAAAGTTTATTCCTTGCATGTTAGTTCGTTAAAGAATTTGTTAAAAAAGAATGTTATTCTGGTTAAGAATGTGCTTCAAATGTGTGGTATGTAGATAGTGGATGCCCTACTCTTGATAAGTTGATAAATAATTGAGTGGCTATAAGCAATAGAACAGTTTGAAAGGCTCAAAGAAAATGTACTATTAAGATAAATTCTTGTGGTTTAGATTTCATTAAAAACCTACTTTATGTGCTTGATTTAGTATTTGGTTTATGGTATATGGCCTTTTAGGATTGAATTGGGTCATGGCCAAATCCGTGAGAAATGAGATGTGAGCTTGGGTGGGTGTGTGTAAAAAGAAAAGTAAATTACTTTTAGTACCTCTTTTTTTTGGGTAGTTTGAAAGGAAAGAAATGCGAAAACGATTGAGAGGATTGAGAAGATTTTATTAGCATTAAAGATAAATAGATCAATACTTTTGGTTTTACGATTTCGTGTTATGATATAAATGGTTTAGATGATTTGGAGAATGTCATTGACCATTTGATTGATTTATAATTATTTTGTATACGAACGGTACCTCTTTATTATCTATGTTAATATTAATATTATACTACACTTTTATTTTAAAAAAATGTACTTGATTGAGATTCAAACTTGTTCTGTGTGGGATAATTCTTTTTAGATAGTGTTTCATTTGTCTTTGAAGACTAAATATGTTACGTCTATAAAGACAAGTCTAAAAAGCATCCCTTGGCTAAAGTATCGGCGGTTAAGAATAAATTATTTCCTTCAAGCCAAGATTATTGTATCAAATTTGCATTGAAGACTCTGCATGATGAAAACTACCATAACATCATAGATATGAGCATCTAAGTTTTAAAAGGTTGAGTGTGTTGCATAAATAAAATTTGATGACTGGCTTGCCTTTCAAGCATGCTGATGGTGTTTGTGAAAGTTGTGTAACTGGAAAACAACATTGAGATTTCTTTCCTAAAGAAAAGTCAACAAGAGCTACAACACCAGCTGAGTTATACATGCAGATACGTGTGGCCCAATAAGCACTCTTTTACTAAATGGCAGCAAATATTTTAATGTTTTTATTGATGATTTTAGTCGAATGACTTGAATCTATTTTGTTAAAAAAAAATCAGATGCATCATCAATTTTTAAAAAATTCAAGCCCTCTGTTGAGAAGCAAAGTAGGCAGCCCATGGAAGTGTTGCTGACAGATTGTAGAGATGAATTTGTCTCGGAGAAATTTGACAAATTTTGCACTGAATCGGATACTAAGAAACAATTGACACCCAGTTACACTTCATACAAAATTAAATCGCAAACCGAGATATAGTCTTTGGAGATGTAGATGCTCAATTAAA